ATGCTTAATACCGATGTTTTTAAATGTTCTGAAAAGTATTAGTCACTTGAGGACAAGCTTGCTACTAGAGGGTTCCATGTACTAACATTTATTATAAAAGTCAATGTACCAAAACGATTCAATTTTTTTTAAATACACACGATACATTTTCAAAGCATTAATAAAAAGCATTATGTGCTTACGTTTAATTTATCGATTTTGAAAATTTTTAAAAAAATGAAGTAACTTTTTAAAGAAATTTCGTATTTAATTCATTGTCATTTTTCGTATCTTTCTTGTCACAAATGCTTGTAAAAGAGAATATACGGAAGAAACAAAGACTTCAAAGGCATATTTATTTAGAGAAAAATTTCAATGCCTTCTTAACAGATGGCAGCATAATACATCTAATATATCTTGTGAAGGCAACCTATGAATTTTGTTATTTTAAATTTCACTGAGTCCTTACTAGATGGCAGCACAATACATTTATGAAAAGGAGCAATAGAAGAAAATTGATTTGAAAAGAAGGAATGTGAAACTACAATGGAGTGTGAAAGTAAATAATTAGGATTAATTTCTTCAGCGAAAGTTTTCACATGTGAGCAATAGATATCTGCACAAGTCGTTTAAATTAATTTTAAAGAATATGACAAAAGAACCATATAAGTTTATTATTTATCAATTATGTTTTAAGTTGATAGAACAAAGCATTTATTAAATAGAAAATTTTAATAAGCGCCTTGTGAAGAGAAATTCAAAAGAACGTGTTTAAAGAGATAGACCAAAACGATGAAAATGAATTTATTAGAAGAAAATTAATTTATTAGAAGAAAATTTCCATACGTATCCGAAAGATGGCAGCACAAGACATTTGATGTTAAATTAGAAAAAATGAAGAAACAAATTGTGTATAGCTAGCATTATTTAAAGATTCAATGTTTGTTAACTTACGCAAAGTGTTATTAAAGGAAAAAGAATAGAAAACCAGAGTGAAACTAGCAAAACTAATTGCAGTAGAACTCAAGTTTTCTGGAGAGCACTTGTTTTCCTTTCATGGCAAACGCGGCACTACCCGGAATTTTTGTCTAAACATTATATATTCAATCACTTTTTATCAGTATTTTGTATTTTATTTCAATATACAAATTACTTTAAATTATTCTAATGTACAAAAACGAAAAGTATATAGATTTTTCGTTTCTGAGAATAAGCTTTGCTTTCAGTGAAAGAAACTTGTGTTGCTAAATACCGAAAAAGAACTGTCAAAACATAACAATAATAATTTAACATAATAATACTAATAATTTTATCGCTTATTATGATATTTATTTTTACACTAAAGGTAGGCTCATATTTTACCTTTAGAGAATCTAATAATGAAATCAATTTCAATAATCTTTATTGAAGTAAGGTACAACCAATGAAAAAACAAAAAATTTCTTCAGCTTGCGTTATGGTAAAAGTAAACTTAGCTAATTAATAAAATATTTAAAGGTTACATAAATCAATAGCGTGAAAACTAAAAAATATTTTGTTTAAATCGAACGCATTAAAAACGAAAAAATAACTTTTTTAGTTATGATAATTTTCTCGATCATATGCAAGGGAATATAAAATCATTAGACTGCTAAGAATGACAGTTTCAAATCAAAACTAATTTAAATTTCTTCTTCTACATACGATTTCTAAACTATCAGTTTTATTGTTCCTTACAATTTTTTTAATGTCCTAATAAATTTCGTTCGCCTCATGTTTTTATTTATATAATGTATGATCTAAAACATTATGATTGGCAAAGAATTGCCAGATTTCAGCAAACTACATTAAGCATTCAAAAAAAAACATTTACTTGGAAAATTATTTCTTGATGTATGTTTTGCCATAAAGGTTAAAACTTTGCGATGATTAGTTTGATCGCTAAACAAAAATTTATGAAAAAAAATTAGCACTAAAAAAAATTCTACACTGAAGGCTGAAAATATTTCAGCAGAATATTATGTTTTCATCAAATATATATAGGCGCCGAAAATGTTTTATACAATCTGTTTATGAAAAGGCAATCAAATTATTTAGATCATTCAGACAAACGGACTGTAATCTTATTAAAGTATTTGAACTTTCTAGTTCCTCATTTGCTTGATAGATAGCAGCACAAGGCTGATTGCTTAGTTGATAAATTTGTGGCGCATAATCTCGAATGTTGCCATATGAATATTCAAGATGTATTCCAATATTTAAACAGGCAAAAACTCACTCATGATAAGCACTAAAAATACATAAAACTACATTAAAACTATTTCAGATAGAATGATAAAAACCAATATCTTTAAATACAAGAATCTATTAAATTTTTGTCCAATAGGCCATTCAAGAGTTACCTCAGAGTTATTGAATTACTTCTTACATTAAAATAAGGGCATTCTAATAAAATGTGACATATTCAAAAGAACAGAATTACATGCACAATAAACAAGCTGATTCTAAATTTTTAAAAGGTAACTACGTGTAATTCGGGAGTGGTCAGTTCTCAGAGGAATTAAAAGGACTTCTCAGCAGTTTCTATTAGCCTTCAAATATTCTTCTGTATGATTAATATTTCTCAGTATATTATGGAGTGGAATGTCCCATATCCCATGATTTAATCCCATTCTTGTGGGAAATTATCAAAGATATTTCTTCGTAACGCCATTCGCCGATTTAGCGATTTTATATCTAACTGATAATCAGAAAGTATCTTCAGTATCTAATTCTGAAAAGAGTTAGAAACAATAACTTAATTTTTAACTTTTTTTCAATTAACTTAGAAACTGTTTGATTAAATAACATATTTATAATTATAACATTATTTAGTCTAATGTTCGTTTAATCAGTATGTTTAGCTCAATCAGTGTTGTTGGGAATGGCATCACTAAGCCAACGAATCAAAAGCCAGATAGAGACTGACGTCATGGGACGCCAGTGGAAAACGAACAGTTCCGGTTTAGTTAGTTAAGCACGATGTTTGCATGATATGGCTAGATAGATATTGTAGCTAGATAAATATTTTATATTCTTTTAACTTGTCTTTATGTGTAAATAAAGCTTTTTGCTTAAGTTTAAATGAAGTACTCCATTTATGACAAGATAGCTGTTAATTCATCGGGTAGATGACTTACGAATCCCTTCTGAGCTAGCCATTGTTCGAACGTAACGCCTTACGTAACATAACAAGTGTTATAAACGCAAAATTACAATGGATGAGCTAAGCATTGATTTTGCAGTAATAGTGGAAATTTAATAAAAAATTATTTCCGAATGGTTTAGATAATACAAAAGAAACAAAGTACTTTTGAAAAAACTTGAAGGATTTCCATATTATTAAGTGAAAAAATTCGATTATTAGATTTGTAATATTGCAATTACATTTTGCAATATTTCATTAGTATTGAAAAGATAAACCTTTTGATATACTTTATGATATAAGTAAGTCATACAAAATATAAGTCATACAAAAGCTAAAAAGAATTCTTAAACTTTTTTTAATCCTATTTATCAAAGGCATTAAATTAAAAGCAAATTCGGCAAGCAAATTTCAAAAGCAAAACAAAATGGGAAATAAATAATAAAGAAGTATGTAACATAATTTTAGGGAAAAAATTGAATGCTTTCAATTAGACAGATTACGAATTAAATGCATTTTTATTATCAATCAATCCGATTCGTAAGAAACGAATACTCTTAAGAACTGCACTTATTTGCTTTCAAATAGCTTAGTTTGTTAATCCACAACGGGTAGATTCAATTCGAAAGATAAATATTTTACATTTTTCCGAATGGCAACAGACTCTAATCAAAAGTGAAACGATGCATTAATAATCAATTGAGTTAAAATCCCATTTCTAGACTAATAACCTCTTTAGGGCTAAAAAGGAGAGAGAATTTTTTAACTTTGGCATGAAATAGTGCTATTGAAAGCTTTATCTTTACAATACTAACGAAATATAAAAATTTACAAACACTGTGATAGTAACATCGTTTTGTAACATTCCAACGAATTTGTGATTAACAAACACAACGGTTTCAAAGCGAGCAATAACAAAACTGTAAGGGGGAAAAAAATTATTTACAGCGCGCGAGACTCTGTATCGGAAATTCTAAAGAAAAGCTCATTTTAAAATTATTTTGCGATATTGCTGTTGAATTGAATTTTATGGTTTAAGTGCAAAGAACTTTTAATAAGTAAAGATAACACAAAGGTTAAAAAAAAAAAAAAAAGTCCCTTTGGGCGTAATGTAAAATCTGAATTTCAGATTTTATTATTTTTAAATTTTTCAAATTTTGAAGTTTTAACTACACGTATAAATTTTTAACTGGTGATTTAAAAAGACTTTCATCTTAAAAAAAAAAAAAAAAAAAAGACCTCATAACAGAATCATTTTCTTTTTCGTCCATCTCATTTTAGCGCCCACCCCACACCAATTAAAAAAACAATCTTTACATTATTAGCAGTATGAAGATAGATCTCAAATTTAATTGTAATTTAATTTAATATACTTACTATATTTAATTTAAAATTGTTAAGTAGTGTGCTATGAGTAAAAATAATACAATTGTAATTATCAAAATCATTTTATTGAAATTAAATCTATGAACAAATTTTTTGCATTAGATTGCAAAAAAGAAAAATATTCTGCATGCAGTATTTTTAAAGCGAATAAATTATTATTTGACCTCTCGTATCAAGACAATAAAATGCAATTGTTTCAGTTTTGCAAACTGCATAAAACTTGTTCCAAAGTCCAGCAACTTTATTACAGAAAGAAAAATGCCCAATTTAACTGACAGATGGCAGCACAAGACGAAAAACTTTTATTCACGTTTGAAGTCTCGAATAAAATACAATTTTGCATTCATTTATTTAGCTAACATCAAAATAAATATCTCATAAGTTCATTTCAACATATTCTCTTCATAATAATACATTGATATATACATAACAATAATCTCTCTGCCGAAAATTATCTACATAAGCGAAAATTGCGCTTTTGGTTCCATTGCTCATAACGTCTAATTTACTTCGTTAGTCATACCATTCTCATGACCTCCCTTTCGACGAATCGTTTTCAGTTACTTGAGCTTTATTCAATGAGATGGACATCCAAAGCCTCGCGCTGGTACGCTTTTTAAAATTATTTTTTATTTGAATTTGACATTTCTAAATGTGATTGCTGTCAGAGGTATCACTGCGACTGTGTCTGGCTTTGTCTTCGAACAGTTCTGTGAGAAGTGCTTCTGTCCTAATACAGATAATTAAAATTCTTTGTAATGAGCCCCACACCCATTCCAACTTATCATCAGCATGAATATGTCGAGAATTCAACTCTTTTCACGAATTTTGTGTTCGTTGTTATACAGCTGGAGCCAGCTGCAGTTGCTCATGATGTTTGGACGATATTTCCTGTACTTCCTGGATATTTATTCATGTTTTTCAGTTTTCAGAAATTGAACGGAATATTGATGAAATAGAAGCCTCTGTCGAACAGATGCGAAAGAAGCACAACAAGATATTATGTTCCCCTTTCCATGATGAAGGTCAGTGTTTAACTGTTCTAACTCTAATTTAGTAACAACATTAATCGCCTACGAAAATGTTTTCGGCCTTGATATGATTAAATCTACATTTCATTGTAAGATTGTTAGGTAATGTGTTGTGAGTAAAAATAATACAATTGTAATTATCAAAAACATTTTATTCAAATCTGGTATAGAAACTTATGGAGCGTATAGAAAGAAATTATAAATGTGAATAAAAAGCATTCATTTTTGCTGAAATTTAGAAAGGAAAGATTAATAAAAAAATTTAGTGATAGGCATGTAGAAAAAATTAATTTAATGTTGCTCAGTAGTATTTCTTTAAAAACATGAATTACATAAAAATAGGTGAAGAGTTTTTAACAAATATTGCTCCCGTATTTCTTCAAATTTAGCATTTATTCTTAAATGAAATTTGTACGAGTTAAAACAGTTACATAAAATTATTGCATATTTGTTTCCATCTGAATATATTTATGCTTCCGATTGAAGTAATAATTCCGAATATAAAGTTTCGGTGAAAATTCATTACAATAAACTGGAATGTTATAACATTTTCCCCATTTATTATTGAAGCACATGATATATATATATCATGTGCTTCAATAATATATTGTTTTCGCACTAAATGAATTTAAGATCATACAACATTTTATATTTATATATATATATGATCTTAAATTCACTTAGCGCGAAATCGAGTTATTCTACTACTTGCGCAATTGCTGCAAAGTAAGTTAATAATAATTTATTTACTAAAGAAATATTGATTATATTATCTCCTAATATTAATTTTAGTAGAATTATCTAAACAGAGTGAATTCATAGTTAGTAAGTTTAATTCCGAAAATTGTTTTAAAGTAACTTGAATTTAAATGTTAAAAATATTTAACGGGGACTTGAATTAAATCATGAATAACAAAATTTCAATTGTAAAAAAGAAATTAAATTAAAAGCAAGTAATCATTGCCATTGATCGGAAATTAGTTGACTTTTCAATGGGAACAAACCAACTCCCGTTCAATGAACAATAATTAAGAAATAAATACGAAGGTGTTTAGTTCCTTTACGTCAAGGTAATAAGGCGATGCCAAACTGGCAATTTAAGTTAGACCAAATATTTCCGTGAATTGAATGGATCAAGAACCAATGCAGAGCATTTAAGAATTCATTCTGATTAAGCATTTTCGCTAATTCAATTTTGAGTAAAAAGTATGCAGTAAAATTGTAATTTTTGCAGTAAAATTGATAAATTACTTGAGTAATTGTCCCCCGACACCATCGTGTTTATGCATTTTAATTCAAAAGTATTTGTAAAAATTAAACATTGGAAATTGGCATTATGAAATAGAACTCAAAGTAATTGAAATAAACATTAGAAAATTACGAAATATAATGCAATCTTTGCAAAAACAAATCAAAAAATAAAAATTGAAATTTAAAATACATATAATAAGAAAATACATGAAGATATAAAAGGCCAGAAAAAGCATTAATTAACTTACGTTCTTTCTAGTGGGAAATGGGCAAAGTGTTCTCTTCGTGTCTTACTCAGAAGGGTTGCGTTTCCGAAATTCTTTATCGGCAGCGGGGGCTTTGCATTATATCAGTCGGTAAGACTTGTGTGAAGTAATTTATGGGAGAGGGAGTGACTAGGAATGCTTGAGAGACGTATGTTGTGGAGTTCTTATTTGAGTGAAACCGTCTGTTAAAATTTTTAAAAATACTAGTGAATGGAAATTAATTAATTTTTGGCTAATTGTTGTGTCATAACCAGGAAGAAATTAAGAAAAGGAAAAAAGGAATTTTCACTGTCAAAGAGCTATTTGACAGACTAAAGATTATGAAGTAGGCCCATTTTTTTAGTAACAGCATAAGTCTGAAGACAATTAGCTTTTTACATTATATACAGCTTTGTAATTACGCTATGTACAAATTCTTCAACTGATAGTCATCCAACTTATACCGCCTTCTCAGGTTTAGGAACAAATTATCATATTCCTATCAGTTAAATGATTTAGAGTGAGTATTTAACGCTTGCTCTTTTAAGACAATGGTTAATAAATCGATTAGGTATTAGATTATTTTTGAGAATTTTAATAAGGAGCAAAATTTCGCGTTGTAGATCTATCGTATCTGTGCAGATATTTTTAATTCGTTGTATTTGATTTATTATCGATATATATATATATATATATAATAAACTTGTTTCACTAAATGGATTTAAGATCATCACATTAGATAATATATATTATATATACATGAATTAAATTAATTATACTATCCGGCACAGTATAATCATTAAATTTTGATACATTAAAGGTAATATAATCTCAGTTTTTGATAAATTAATTCCAGGATAGTATAAAAATTCATTTTTGCTAAATATATTTTAATTTAATAACACTATACTAATATTTATCAACATTTATCAACGTTTTGTTGTTTAATTCATAAAACACGTTAAAAAAAAACATCTAAATCTAGATAAATGAGTCTATTTAATTTTTGGGTTTCGGAAAGGAGGTAATAATCTTCTAGCAGTTGTGAAAGGAGGGCATGGGGTAAAAATGTTTGAGAACCCTTGATCTAGACGATTTTGGTTTTCCGTCTATGGGGTCGTCTCAGGAACGAAATGTTGAATATCGAAATTAAATTATGATTAAGAAACATTTGTCACTTTAGATCAGAAGTTCTCTGCCCTTTTCTTACATCGACCCTTATCAAAGAAATACTTTTCTTCAACGACTCCCTTACAGCTTTGTCTATAATATACAGTATACAGCATAATAACAATGCAAATGGTTGCACATAAATAACTTAAAAACAACAATTAGAATAAATTAAAAATGAGAAAAAGTTTTGGAGAATGGTATATTAGATCGATATTAAATTATTTTTTGTATTATTGCTATTTTTAAATTGACAAATATAAACCAGTTTTTTGAAACAGAATCACAGATTCTAACTGCACAGTTAATAATTTGAATTCTTGTGATGACTGCGCTTGGCGCATTGATGCAATTTTTTATTAATATTTGGCATAAAATTGCTAGTCCAAAGGCACTTTGTCCCTGAAGGACTTTTGTTTTTGTTTTGCGATTTTGCGTTGAATCGTTATAAATTTCCTTTTCACTTTTCAAACTCTTGCCACCAAATGTTAGAGTCCTGCATTATATTTGGAGAAATTAAATAATGAAAAATCTGCATAAATGTATGTATATTTCTCGCACTGTGATAAAACAACGGCCATCGAATTTGAATGACGTAATCCTCCTACGAATAGAGCATGTGGGAAGAAATTTGAAATTTGGAATTTGTTTTATGATCGATTTCATATTTTGTAAAAATTTAACGAATTTTTGATTAACAAACTCAAGGATTTCAAAGCAAGCAATGGCAACAATCTGCGCGGGAAAAAAACACCTTTTTATCTCCAGCGCGGAGTCTCTTTTATCTCTTTTTATCTCCAGTGTGTATCGGAAATCCTAAAGATATGCTCATTTTAAATTTATTTTACGACATTACTATTGAACTCAGTTTTATGGTTTAAGTGCAAAGAAAATGCTATTTAATACATAAAGGTAACACACAAAACGTTAAAAAAACGCCCCTTTGGACGTAATTTAAAATCTGAAACCTTTCAAATTTTTTTAATTTAATTTTTTAACTTAGTTTTTAAATCACCTCGCTCAAAAACATTCAACCTGTTTCTCGTTTTCCATTCATCGTAAATTTGTGTGTGTGTGCGTTTTCTTACGCTTTGCGGTTTTCCTTTTTACTTCCTTGTACGAAGTAAAAAGGAAGTATTGTAATCGCGAAAAGTTTCAGGCAACATATTTCAACGAAAATATCCATTTTGACCGCTATCGAATGCAATTTAACGATGTTTTTGCGTGATATCTGTGCGTAAGGACAGAATAAAAGACACCTTTCCTCCAAAAAAAATTATAAAACTGCCTTAAAATTAATTCTGAAGAGAATTTTTCGTGGTGTCTGTATGAACGTATGTACGTACCTACGTATCTCGCATAACTCAAAAACGAGTAGCCTCAGAACGTTGAAATTTTGTATATAGGACTGCTATAACATGTAGATGTGCACCTCGTATTTTGGTTGCAATCGGCCGCACCAAACGTATATAAATATCTTTATATATATATCCACTCTGTTACCCGGCTCAGTGATCTCAGTATCTTTACTCTTATATGTTTGTAAATTGCACATTTTTTGCTTTAAAAATGATTGAATTATGTTGTTTTTAATCTTCCGGTTAAGGTTTTTATGCCTTTCGTAATTTTTGAAGCAATATTTGTACAATTATCAACAATTTAAAAGCTGTTTAAGTGCGGTTAAGTTTTAAATAACATGGCGGACATATTTGTTTACATTTGAAACAGCAGAATTGTAGATTTGTTGCCAATCTAGAGAAACTAAGCTTCGCAACACAAAAATAACGCCTTCATTTATTATTGCGAATTAAATCATGCTTAATCCTTTCTGGAATTTTTTCGAGGAAATAAGTGTTTAAGATTTACTTCGTAATTTTTAATGCAGATATTTTGAGTTTTTATGTATTTTTGCCTTGTCGCGAAGTGAGAGCTGAATTAATTGAATGAGAAATACTAAATCGTCCGTGAAAACCTGTTTCTTTTCTGTTTTGTTTGCTTAATTTCTTTCATACATCGTTTTAGCTTTATTATAGTATTTGAATAGAACATGTCGCAACGATAATTCTTCAAATGATATAAATTTTGTGCATTCAGAGTGTCGTTATAGTAAACAAATATAGTGAATTTTAAAGAGTGCATTTACTCAATTGTGGTTTATGCGCTGTCGACGAAGTAGATTTAATTCAATCCAATCAATTTAAATGAAATGTAAGAAAAAATGCGTATAATTTAATATTCCGTACAAGGAAGTCATGTGGTGTACACATCAGATTTTTTATATTGGAGTTACTGCATACAAAATATTATTTTTAAAATATACTGAACAAA